TTTTGAGAGGGCAAGAATAGATGCCTTAAGCGGTTCTGCTGCGTGTTTGGACTCTTTCATCTGGTTAGTGACTTCAGTGACTATTTCAAGCTGTTTTTATATTGTATGAGGCTTTCTGGAATATTCTGGAATACTCTAGATTTAATTTAAGCTGTTCTAGAATTCTCTAGAATATTGTTCTGAGCGTATTGTAAAATAGTTTTCAATATTTTGTCAAAAGCTCTTTAAATTTACCAGTTTAATCATTAGAATGCGATAATCTGAGTCACTTTTTGCACAGATTTTGTTTCCTGAATCTCATTTATATCCAAATTTATAATTATCAGTAGAATATCTTAGGGTGAATAAACTTTTTTCCTAGGTGGTCCGGAAGGGGTCTTTATATTAGTGCGATTAAAAATTATTTTAACCCTAAAAACAATAAACAAAAATATTTTTAGTAAAAAAAAATCAGAGGAGTCACTTTTATCAAAACAGCACCATATATATATATATATATATATATATATATATATATATATATATATATATATATATTCCATGTTCAAAATTGTTCTGCGTAGTGAATATGTATTTAGTGTGCATTTTGGTCCTTTATCTGGATGAACTAATACCATATGATAACTTTCTAAATTATAAAAGTTACCAGACAAAATTGCTTCCGAGAATCCAAATGTTATATGCGCGAAGAAGGCGCAAGAATAGCATTCTTCCAAAGGACAAAGCACTTGCCTTACTGTAAAATCAATAAAACAAGTGGTTAGAGGGTAAGAGAATGTGTACTGGTTGGGTTAAGTTCACATGTAAATGTCACGAAGAATTTATGGCTGGAAGGAAGTGTAATCCGTCAAACAAGAGTGGTACAATATTGACATTTACACATATAAGAAGCTTTCCATAAGTGTTACTAATCGGACATGAATGCCTAAAAAATCTAAGGAACATGCAATCCCATATTGATTACAAACATTTTCCTGACCTTCCCGCTTGTTCAGCGGGGTACCGACATTAACGGGTAAGACAGCATTGTGCTGGGACCAGCGTAGCCGAATCGGAACTCGACAGTCTGGGCAGCCACGGTGTTATATTTGCTCTGCATTTTTTTTATGATTCATTTTTATATTATGAGGAAATGTGTAAAGTTTGAAAACTTTCTTGGATAATATTTTTTTAATATTATCTTACTTATTATAAAACGCAGATTGTGTGTGTGTGTGTGTGTGTGTGTGTGTGTCTGTACGTTTATATATTGGATCGGATTTCCTACATTTTTCAACTGATTTCAACAAAACTTCACAGGACTGCGTAAAATTACCTGGCGGTGGTTCTGACAGTGCCAAAAATTGGAAACCACAATTGTTTTTGCACGAAATCAATTTGAAAACACGATTCAGGCACCAGAATGAAAGGGGGACAACTCATATCGAGTTATACTTATTATAAAACCCAGGTTGTTTGTGTGTGTGTGTGTGTGTTCGTTTATATATGCGGATTTCCTACATTTTTCAACCGATTTCAACTTCACTTTTTTTTTGACAGTTAGTGTTTCTTATTGTCTTGCACACTTTTTTCTTTATTTTTACATTCAGAATGCTTTAAAAATTCCATTTACAAGACAATTGTTTATAATAAAATTCTATTTAATCGGTAGACTCATAACGATTGAAAACAATGTTTTTGTTTGAGTTTGGGTTTGACCAATTCGTAAAAAAAAACCCCAAAAAACGAAAAAAAAGCTAATTAAGACATGCGTGTCCGTCAACCTTAAACAATAATCTTTGTCAATTTCATTTTTCAGTCATTATGATGGTCGATACTTGATCTATCTCTTACTGCTACATCCCCGGGCAACGCCGGGCTCTACTGCTAGTATATTATAATATCAGGTTTGGAAATAAATATTAGCTAATTGAAAATAAATGAATAATTGACTAAATGAAAAAAAATTTCTTCAACATTTCAATTATAATTTTTGTCTGAATTTCTGGGATGAGAAATTATGATTATTTACATTATTTATATTCGGACTATTGTCCTCATCTTTGTTGTTTTTATCACAAGGTTTCGGTCGTTGAGCCTTCCGGCCTTCTTCGTGTATATATCGATCTGGGTAACCTACAGAAAATGAATTTCTGGGATGAGGAGTTATCATTATTTATACAATTTATATTCAGGCTATTGTCCTCATCTTTGTTGTTTTTATCACAGCGTTTCGACCGTAGAGCCATCCGGTCTTCCTTATATTCTGCGTAGGTTGCCTAGATCGATAAACACTTGAGGAAAGCCGGGGAGCACAGTGGCCGAATCGATGTTATAAAGGCAACAAAGATGAAGACAACAGTCCGAATATAAATAGTGTAAATAATTTCGATTATAAATCCAACTAATTTTTCTTTCATTTGACGAATTATAAAAGCAGGTCATACACTTCGATCTTCATTTTTCGAAGTACAAACAATATCCTTTATCCAAAATATTAATTATCACCGGTGATGGTAGTTAAATTAAACAGAATAAAAAATTGCTAAATGAAGGATTTTCGAAGCATTTAATACAAAAGTACTATATATATATATATATATATATATATATATATATATATATATATATATTGAGTTGGTTCCGAATGGTCGTGCCATCAGTGCCGAACTTTACTGTCAGCAACTAGAGCGGGTCTACGAAAAGTTGAAGCAAAAAGTACCCGGCTCTGATCAACCGAAAGCGCGCTTTAATGCAGCAGGACAATGCCAAGCACACACCGCCAGGAAGACCAAAGACAAGTTTGAAGAGCTGGACGGCGTTGAGGTTCTGCCACATCCAGCCTACAGTCCTGACTGTGCTCCATCAGATTACGGCCTTTTCCGCTCAATGTAACACTTTCTGAAGAGCCGCCGATTCCACTCGTTTGATGAAGTCGAGGAAGCGTGTCAAGAATTCTTTGATTCGAAGCCGGCTGAATGGTACTTTCACCAGATCCGAAAGCTTACAGATCGATGGCAGAAAGTCTTGGAAAATGATGGTCTTTATTTTGAGGAATATTTTTTGCTGTTTTTGTTATTACTTGGCGAGTAAAATTTCAATTTTTTGCAAGTGTTTACGAACTTTTGAGACAATATATATATATATATATATATATATATATATATATATATATATATATATATATATATTTATATTCTTCTGTTTAACAGGAGTTTGGAATAGAGGATGGATACTTACATAACAATTGACGGATTTAAAAATAAAGACAAATGAAAGAAGAAATTTTTTTTTTCTGAAAATGCCTTTTGCTGTTTAATAATTCGCTTGAATCTCTATGGCTGTACTTTATATTACATAAAATATTTGTCTTAATAGAATGAAAATGAAAACAAACTTTACCTGAAGTCGAGAAAATTTTCAAAATATTCCGTTTTTCAAAATCTCACTAGAAATGCCCAAACTACCTGAAAACAACAAAAAGAATATTGGTTAGAAAAACATCAGACGACATCAAGATTTTAATAATGCTTTGCAGTATCTGGCTCAAAAGTTTTAAACCACCTAGTGAGGATTACTATGGTCTACAATACTAATCCGTTAACAAACACGGAGACCCAGGTTTTAAGAACATGAATTTAATCTCCTCCTTGTCATTTTTACTTAGTTAACTAATTTACAATTATTTAAATGTTTTTTACGTATTGATAAAAATAATAGACACAAGTGATTTTTCATCTTCTCAAACAGCTTTCCGAACATCTACAATGAGATAATCTGCAGATTACTCTCGCCGTCTGAAAAAAAATCTTGTTAGTTATTTCGAGAAGAGTTGGAGGAAGTCGGTTTTGACACAAGGTTGTGTCTATTGGAAGGCAACATAGTAACACATCAATCAAAGGATTATTAGATCAAAATTGTTCGCATTTTCTTATATTTTTCAATGACATCTTCCATCAGGATATAGGCAGCTATGTTGCTTCATAATATTCTTTTTTAATATATGTAAATATTTATTGTTATAGTTATTTTTTATAGAAAATATAGCCAGGTGGTTTGCTGTTAATTTATTGAACACTGATGTCAAAACCGAGTGGCTACAATCTGTTTCATGCTTGACCGCAATCTTCAGGCCATGTGTGTTCGATTATACATATAAAAGATGATAAAGCAATGATGACAAGATAACCGAATCCTTTGGTTGCATTTATTGCATAATAGACACAGCTTCAGTAATCATATTTCTTGCTAATAATTTCTTCTTCTATGTTTTAGGTCTTTTTGGGATCATGGATCTCTACAGCTTCATTTCCCATGTGGCAATTAGTTGTTTATCACTTTTCTTAGACTTTACGAAGCTTGTTCCAACCTCCATTCGCACAAGCTCGTCCGGTTAGTGGCTCGCTACATTCCCTGTCACCCTTGCCCTCAATATGACCCGTGAGGGTTACGTTTTGCATATCCGGTGTCCAGGGTTTTGGTTTTATGGTTTTATACCTTTTGTAGGTTATTTAAAACCTGAATATATTTCAGACAGTCAGTTATGTGCCATGCGTGATACACACTTAGGCGATCATGTATCTTTCGATACATGACTGACAAGGCAGATTTTATTCCCGGAGTAGGTTGTCATTTCTTTATGTAGTAGACCAGTTGCCTTCGAAGGCTACAGAACCCGGTCTGTTCTGCTATTTACCCAGAGCTGGTGGAGGAGATGAGGTTTCATACGTTTTCCAAGGTATTAGCACATAAGTGAATGTAATTGATTCGACTGGAATTAGAACTCGGCTCTCCGATTTCTCAATCCGAGCCACTATCCATTAGGCTACCACAGACTGTAAATATATTTCGAGTTAATAAAGATTTACTGATACAATTCTTACTAACTGACCCATAGTTGGGGGGGGTGTAGATTCATGCCTTTCCCAAGAGTATTTGCACGTAAGTAAATAGAACGAACCCAACTGAAACTCCAAGTTCCAATTCCGATCCCTGAACCATTACTGCGTATCCAAGCTTAA